GAAACGCTACTGTCTTTCTAGCCATGATCTTTTAAAGATTTGTATTTTTTGTAAAAGTTTACCAGTTACTCGAGTAAATGCTGGAATTGCTGACCCTGGGCTTCTAAGCAATAATAGAGGTTTTGTCCAAAACGCTTCCGGACATTTTGAAGCTTCTATGGGGTGATTTAATGACATTCATCAATTATCCGTTGTCACAGATTTTCCAGTGATGTTGGCTGGGTGGCATAAATTTTAGTTTTTAAGTGGCCCCATAAAAAATCTATTGGGCTTAGCTCCTCAATACTTCCTCTTCTTCCGCTCCATTGAACTGTAAATCCGTCTTGCTGGAATATTAAGATGTTTTCTATGTATTGATCGTCATTCTCAATCAATTCTAGTAATGCTGGATAAATGGAATTTTCTAATAATTCCAGATACATTTCTGCGTTTAAAGTTCCAGGTAAAAAAGGGGCCAATTATATAGTTACCAAAAATGTCAGCCCAAACATTCAGTTTTTCCGGATGTTACATATACACTTCATGAAATATTCTGGGATTTGAATCGGACCAATAACGACGATTTACCGTACCATTTAGAAAAAAAAGAAATTGTTGATCATGTATTGCCCGTTCAGTCATAATTTCACAAAATTGTAATCGCCCATCAAAATCGTCTTCGATAAGTTCTTTTACCAGATGTATTGCGTAGGGAAGAAACTTGCGTTTTTCAATATCTTCTGAATGCTATTTCTCTTAATACCAGATGTTATCGTCAACTGTCTTGTACTCAATGTGGTTTCTTGAACAACATGCTCTTAAATCGCCATCTTTGTAGCTTCACTTACTACAGCACTTTCCATTTCACGTTATTTGTTAGCTACTGACCCCGTTTCCCAAAATTTTTGGACTAACTCCAAAAAATACTTTCGATGGACTTGTGGATTTTGATGTTGATTGTTAAACAGTTGGGCAGTTCTATTAGCATATTCATTGTTCGCAAAAAAAGAGAAATTATTTGCAATTGGGTAAACCATTATCACTAATATGTCACTGTTATGCCGTCTCTACAACGAAATAAACTAAACCTTACTACTTTACGGCGACCAAAGAATGTCATCTGAAATAATTTAAAGCCACATGAATAAAACTAGAATTATTACAAAGAATTCGTTTTTTTTTAATAACAATGTAAAAATTATGTTAAACCGGTTTTTTACATTTGGTAAACCACTGTATATGCTACATAGATAGTAGCGATGTAAAACTTGGGGGTTATTATACGTTAAAAATAAGATATCATTCGACCCATCTTTCCATTTAAGATTTTACCGGCGAGTCTTACCCTCAATAGAGGGTTTCCGCTCAGGGGGTGAAACTGGCAGAAAATAAAATAAAAAATTGACAGGTCCTAGCGTTTTTCGCCAGCACTACTAGAGAGCTGTTTCTAACTCTAAATGAACGTTTTCTTCTAACAGTGTTTGATCGGGAGCAACTTTCAAATGTTCTCCCTTCTCCCCTCAAGCATTTGCTCAATAGCATATGTTCAGAGCTCTTGTCTTGATTATTGTAGACCGTTATTGGTCGTTCTTTTTTGACTTCATAGGGTTTTATACACCAAGAATAATAAACCCTTAAGTCCAAGTACAACGCGCTGTCTATGAATGCGTTTTTCCGATCATTTTTTAGCTCGAAAACTGCATCGTTGCCGATCTAGATCTGAAAATTGATATAACTGCTCGGAAAAGTGACATAACTGCTCGGCAAAGTACCTAATTTCCTGAGCTCTTATCCAATATTATTGATAACACAACACAAATATTATGAATCCTAAATTGACCGGAACATCAACGTTTAATAATTGTTCTTTGCATAATTGCTCGTTATATATTAATTATATATAAATATTAATAATAAATGAGTTAAGTTTTGTTATAAATTTTGAGCAATACATATTCTGTTCCTATATTATTTTCATATTATTGGTGGCAGCACAAAAAATATTGTACGCGCCACACTCGGAAAGTGTATTTACAGGGCTCGCATGCTTTCAGGGCTCAGCCTTCGGCGTCGCTCTGAAACTTGCGAACTCGCCCTGTAAAGTATCTCTTTCCGAGCTTGACACGTAAATAACTACGAGGATGTATCAGAAAATAACGAGACTGGTGCTATAGTATAACAACGAAACATTTATTTAAAAAAATTCAACAAATATCCTTCGAAGTACTCTCCATTCTGTTGAATACACTTATTCCATCGCTTTATCCACTTATCATAAACTTCTGAGAAACCATTTTTTGATAGTCTGTTTAGTATACCCATCACAGCGTTGTTGAGCTCTAAATCCGACTCAAATCTTCTACCTCTCAATTCTTTTTTGACTTCAGGAAACAAATGGAAGTCACATGGAGCAAGGTCAGGAGAGTAGGGGGGATGAACCATGATTTCAACCCCTAATTCTTCAATTGTTCGTTGACAAATCATTGATCTATGAGCCGGAGCATTGTCGTGATGCAGCGTCCAGCCAAAGTCCTGATAAAGCGGCCTTTTTTTCTTTAATTTTGCCTTTAAGGGTCCTCGAAGTACATTAGAATAGTACTCCCCTGTTACTGTATGTCCTCTAGGTACAATGTGATCGTAAATAACGCCAAATTTATCAAAAAAAATAAGGTGCATCACTTTACCAGCGCTTTTAGCAGTTTTGGCCTTCTGCGGTCTTGAGCTGCCTTTATGCTTCCATTGCATACTTTGAGACTTCAATTCAGGATCGTAATGATAAAACCAACTTTCGTCACATGTAACCACATTATTTAAAAACTGTGGGTTACGTTGCAATTGCCTTTTCCACTGCTGAAAAATTGTCACTCGATTCGCTTTTTGTTCATCGGTCATCACTTTTGGAATCCATCTTGCCGCGATCTTCCGGTACTCTAAATCTTCATGAATAATTTTTTGAGTGGTATCGTAAGACAAATTAACATTGTCAGAAATTCGTTTTATGCCAATCCGGCAATCATTTTGTATCAAGTCGTTAATTTCTGCAATTTTTGTGTCATTTCTCGCAGTTTGTGGTCGACCGGGACGAGGTTCATTTTCAACTGATTCACAACCGTCTTTAAACTTTTTATGCCACTCAAACACTCTACATCGTGATAAAATATTATCTAGATATGCACATTTAATCATTTCAAAAGTTTCAGTTGGTGTTTTACCCAATCGAACACAAAATTTTATCGCATATCTTTACTCCACTTTCATTTTTCGATGGGTACGCAAAACACTGACAATTCAATAATTAACTTGTAACAAATGTCAAAAGTTAAATCAAAGCCTACTTGCGGGGTAGTACATTAAATATTAAGGCTTTAATGTCTCATTTTTTGGGGTTATAAAATGTTACCTCTGAAAGAAGTTATAGCACCAGTCTCGTTATATACTGATATATCCTCGTATATCCAGGCATCTTGTCACTATACCAACTTGGGCCACGACAGCTTCTTCATTTTACTTATTAGCACTTTTTGTCCACGTTGTGCTATGGGTGCTCCGGGGATTCGGCGCCTATGCGTATAAGATTCATTCGTATGAATTGTTCCTAAGAGCAGCAAATAGGATTTTAGATCGAAATTGTGGGAAATATATCAAAAAAAATCAGTGTTTTTGTGTGTTAGACCCATTAATAATGAGTGATTTCGAATCATCCGTGTCCCACCCTGTACATTGTGTAGATGTAATAAGTTACTGAAGTGGATACGAATAAAAATGTGTCTGTGTATAAATTTTTTCTTTAACAACACTGTATATATATTCTTTTGAATATTACAATTAGGCATATATAATCTAACTGACATAAAGAATAGCCAATTTAGACAAATCTCGCACTTATGTCAAAAAATCTGTTTCTATTTCTTGTATTACAAACCAATTTAATAAGGCACACACAAACTCAAAATTGAAGAGAGGACTCCTTAGAATTTGGCCAATATAAAACATTCGATACTTTTTCTATTGTTACGTTATGTATTGTGTATTATTAGATTACCGTAGAGGTGTTACCTGTGAAATCTCTTTTTATTTGTTAACACTTCAAATAGTACTTAGGTAAATGGTTTAACAATAACTTTTATATCGCTACCGTTTAATATTACTTCATTTCATGTAAACAAGATTTTTGTATGTGGGACAAATATAAAAGCTTTAGTAAGAGTATATTTTGAAGAAATTTGAGGATCTTCACAGGTAGCAAGCGAGATAATGCTACTTTAAAGGCTAGTTATCTTATTTTCCTCATAATTATAACAATTATATTCATTTTTAAATACGAGGTAAGACAGTTTAATTTCCTGAATGCAATAAATATACAGGAATACAACAAAATGTTGGTCATATGTAAACTTTTAAAAAAGAAAAACAAAAGTAACATGAAGAAGGGTACAGAAAAAAGGGGCTTAGTCACATTTTTGTCAAAATTAAACTGGTACCGTCTTCTTTTGTCATCATTTTTAAATACTAGATAAGACAGTTAATTTCCTGGATGCAATAAATATACAGGAATCCGACAAAATTTTGGTAATTTGTAAACTTTTAAAAAAGAAATGCAAAAGTAACATGAAGAAGTGTACAAGAAAAAAGGAGCTTAGTCATATTTTTGTCAAAATTAAACTGGTACCTACCGTCATCTTTTGTAAAATACCTTTGTTTCCATGTAATATGCCAAATTAGAAATAAAGCGCATTTAAAATTATGCATCTAGGGCAGTGGCGGCTTGTAGTAATTTAAAATGGTTGTTAATTTTTTTCCAATAATTTTATCACATGTAAATTTGGTTCAAAACTTTATACAAGTGCCAATATACCTTTTTTTTATTTGGGTTAATTATTATTATTATTTTCAATATCATACTGTTTTTAAGCACTACAGCTATTAATGAAAAAATGATTGCATGATTATTTTAAATATTGTAATATTTGTTTTGTTTTTATTACGTTAAAAACCATCTATAAACATTATTAGTTATAATCAGCAGACTTTTATTCATATTTTGAGATACAGGTTATGATTTTTGTGTAAAAAATATTATTATATGAAATTTTACCTACCGTTTTTCTGTTTTTATTGTAAAGTAATTAAAATACATAATATAGTTTGATTCAAATTTTAAAGCTTCAAATGGCGCAGTCAAAACAAAAAAATTAACAAAAAATAGTTTTTAAATTAATATTTACTTAATAAGAATATATAGAATAAGCAATATGTTTTTAGTGCCTACATATTATTAAAACATTTCCTAGCAAATACTATACTATGCTACATTGTTTTTAATCCAGTCTAAAAAGTTGGTAATCTTAGTAAATACACCGGGATAACCCTGTTCAGCGCATCTGAACCCGTAGGATATGATACCAATTTGATAGTACCAAGAATATTTTCCTTCTTTAACAGCATACATCAGAGGTCCTCCTGAATCTCCCTGGCAAGAATCTTTAGCCGAATTGGTCCATCCAGCGCAGATGATTCTGTTGTCTATCACGGTGTCTTTTCCAAACGATCGTTGACAGTTTTCTTCGCTGATCACTGGGATGTCAGCCACTTGTAACGTTGAACTCCTTGGGCCATCTAGAAGTAAAAAAGCAGGATTGTTAAAGGGTTTGGAATTCTGAGTAGTGTGGAAAATAATTAGTAAAAAAAATAAATACAGATAAACAAATTTGTCTTTTCTGGAAATTTAATTAATTAACATAAGTAAGAATGAATTTTTCTGGAATTGCTGAGAAGATGCAGAAAAAAATTACAAAATATGTTTAGGAGGTAGGCATTTTAACAAAAAAGTATTATATAGGCATACAGGGTGGGCAAAAGTTTCACCCCTTCTTATCTTCGTTGTTAATTGAGATATCGGAATTGTATTTTTTTTTTGTTTAAAAGTTATAACTTTATTATAATGGATTCAATAATTATTCTGAGAAGTCATGGCGCACTTCCGGTTTTTTAGGAAATAACACTAAATCGCAATATTTTTTAATTTTTAAATGAAAACCCTAATTTTTTATTGAAAATTCTAATTTTTCAACGATCAAAATGGTCGCCATATTGGATAATACTATTTCTAAATGTGTAACTAATAAATCATTTAAGAAAGAATATATGAATTATGTGTAAGCCTTTGTGTTTCCATTGAGACTAACCCAAATTACACCAATGCCGTATTTAAACATTTTTGTTATTAGTAAACCACTTAAAAATTTAACCCGCCCATTATTTGAGAAATCGAATTGGTTTGTTTTTGTTTGAAAGCTTTGAACAAGAACTTTCTTATAACTGATTCAATTATTCTGTGACGTCAAGGGTTAATTCACTTTTTATGGAAATAACAATAAATATCAGTTTATGTTTTTATTTTTAATGAAAACCTTAATTTTTTTATTGCAAAGTACAGTTTTTGAACATTATTGTATAAGAATCTATTATTAAAAAAGTCTTGTCAGCTGTCAAAATGGCCACCATATTGGATAGTATTCTTTATAAACATGTTACTATTCTCGGACATAATATTGATGAAGGTGATTCCTTCCTGTTCACGTACAACAATCATACTATACCAGAGCATAATGAATGGAATCACGCGCTTAAAACTTAAAACTAGTCATAAATGCATGTTTAGTGCCAAAAAAAATTACGCCAGTGGCGTATAAAAACTATTGGCAAATTAAATGCGGTAATAGTAAATAATATTATATGAAAGTAGGTTGGTTATCTATTTTTGTAGTAATAATCATTTATGTTTATAATTTTGTTTTGTTTATTGTTAAAATATGTAAATATTATGCCAGTGGCGTAGAAACACTATTGGAAAATTAAATGGGGTATTATACTAGAACAAAATATTGAAGAAGGTGCGCCTTAAAACTGCAAAAGGTATCGTGATCATATCAAAATGCACTCTTCCAGTGTCGCAGAAATACTATATTGGCAAATTAAATGGGTATTTGTGAATATTACTAGATGAAAGTAGGTTGGTTATCTATTTTTGTTACAATAATTCATCTATGTTTATAATTGTATTTTGTTTATTATAAAAATATGTAACTTAAGCTTGGTATCACTTACTTGAATTCTAAATCTATAAAGTTTCGTAATCCATTGATTCTGCAGAACTATCACTGGAATCGTCTTTATCGTCGGAACTTAAAGTTATGACTAAAGATTCAACTACCGTTTCGATCATACCGTCCAAGCGCCACATATTATTTTCTTTCTTAATTACATGGGAAATAGCATTCGGCCAATCTTCAGATTTTATACGTTCTATACCGTTTTTTGATAAACTTTGAACGACGCCTATTTTAAAAGTTTTATTTTCTCGAGCTACAAACCCTTTCACTTGCGCCCAAATTAGTTCAATAGCATTGATTTCGCAGTGATAAGGGGGAAGTCTTAGTACCGTAATACCACAATCACGAGCCATTGTGTCGACAACATATTGAATATATTTATGGCGGTGTTCCATTATTAGGTCCATTAATTCCACTTTAAGCATCTCCTCAGTAAATGTGATTGTTTTATCCCGCAGCCAGGTTTGCATATCCGCTTTCCTACTGGACATTATCGGAATGCGTTTAACTCGTCGACTGTGATAAGAAGCGTTATCTAGTACAATAACTAAATTTCGTTCTACACGCTGTAATACTTCAGTAAACCATTTTTCAAAGCATTCCGCATTCATGTCCTCGTGGTAGTCTCCTGTTTTTTTCAATATAAACACAAGAGCGCCATTTTTCAAAAATCTACTGTCACTTCCGATATGGGTAACAATTAGGCGCTGTCCTTTACCTGATGGTCCTTTTAAACCTGTAGATAATCCCTCTATAAAAGCTTGGCCATGACTAGTTAAATAAGTATCTTGCCATATCTTAGATACCGTGTGTCCAGCATTCACCCACGTTTCATCGAGATAGTATATCTTTTTTTAGCGGCTCTAAACTCTTTAATATTTCGTAAATAACGCCGTCGCCAGGACACTATATCTGACCTCTCAATTAAAATTGATTTCCTACACCGTTTGACAAAACGAAATTTTAGGCCCCATAAAAATTTTCGTAAAGTTTCACGGCTCATTAATGAAATGTCTTCGTTTTCTCTTAATTTCGTAAGAAGTGTTGGGGTTTTGTTTTCGAAAAAAAAGAATGTACAGTTCTTCGAATGATTTGTTTTTGGTTATCGTCCAATTTCAACAATTTTCGACCACGGGTATGCGTTTTAGGGGCTTCTAAGGAGCCTTTTTTTGTCTTTTCGCGTACAATACGTTCAATTGTTGAAACAGATACTCCAGTTAAAAAAGAACTGCGGTTTACAGCTTCATTTGTAGGAAGTGTCTGTTTCTATCAAAAACGTATGTTAACCGCATCATCTTTGTTTAAATAAAGATATTGACAAACAAATTTAATAAAGTTTACTAACAAATACCTAATAAATAATTATTTGGTATTTGATACGCCGCCTATGCTGATTCTGTCGGAATTTTCATTCATAGACAACAGTGTTGTTCAAGCATATGACTCACCTTCTCCAATATTTTTTCCGAGTATAATAACTCGTTTAAGGAAGAAAATATGGGAAACATAACCTTTAAATACTCTCTGTAATACAGAGAGTATTTACTGTAAGCTATAGTGTTTACAGTGAGACCAACCTAAATTACACCAGTGGCGTATCTGAGCATTTTTTAATTTGTAATCCTCTTATCTTAGTTACTATTTGACATATTGAATGATTTTTTTTTCGTTTGAGAGCTTGGAACAAGAACTTTGGAACAAAAACAGCCATGAATTACAGTAAATCTCTATTTATTTTTTTTTTATTTGACCTGCAGAAAGTCCAGATATAACGCCTCTTGACTATTTTTTGTAGGGTACTTTAAACAAAATGTATCAAAATAACGAAGCATTAGCTAAACAAGTTGTTGAACAGAGATTTGTAAATCAATGTGGGGCTGTACCTCCACCACTGCTACGAAAGGTGACAAAAAAAAGAGTTAAAAACTGTTTGGAATGTTTAAATAAAAAAGGTGGTCATTTTGAAAATTATATGTAAAATTCGAGGATTCTCTTACTGTTGTTTTGTTTTACAATAATTTACAGTCAAATACTATTTTCGTTTTGTTGTAGTGTTCCTCCTTTTCCATTTTTCTATATTATTTATATTATAGATTCAATAACTTAATTAATTTGATCACTCTGCTCGTCCCGCAAATACTCGTTACATAAAATAAGGCATTCAGTAACTGGTTTCATAAATAGCTATTATTTCTTGAATTTTTATATCATACTATATATTAATAAAATAATAATAATACTGTTACTATATTAATCAGTAAGTGAAGAACGGATGAAATGAGTTAAATAGTAGAAACAGAAACAAATACTTGCCAAAATACAAAGATCCCCAGCCAGCTATAATGCCTACTTCACCGACGAAATCATCCTTTCTCAGCGGGTCTGTAAGAGGCAAACAAATTGGCCATATCGAAGCTGAAAATAGAAAAAAAGTCAACCCTCACTATGTTACCAAAGTGTTCTCTCTAGAAAATTGCGGTAATTTTTGTATTTACTATCGCTATTTTTAGAAGAAGAAAATAATTTATTTTAGCAAATTGCTAATAAATACAGAATATAATAATTAAAAATAGAACTTTTTACAATTATTCAATAAATTTATATAAAAAGAAGAAAAAGAAACATAAATATTCCAAATTATTAGTAGTGGCAATCGATTAATTACAAAACAAGAGTTTTTTCGCTGAATATCTTCAAATTAACAATTTTAGGTTATATATTATACTTGTCATGCCATCGGTCATGCCTTTATCATCTATGTTCTTTTTAGTTTTCATAAATAATGTCGGATAAATCTGTACATTATTTTTTTGTAAGCATGTACGAGTATATCTCTTCTAAATCTAATATACCTATTCCTTTAAGTCGATAGGTAATAGGTTATTTAAAAGCTTCTATACAAATATTAGAGTTAAACATTTTATATAGAATTTGATAACTAATTAAGTGATTAGTAAGTGCAGTAACATATAAAAAACGCTGAAACACGTTAATTGATTTTACATTGGACGAATTTGTTGCCAATAAAATTACTTTTTTGCCCAACTTTTTTTTTTCAAAGGCAAAGTTACAAATACCTTTTTAGTGCTATCGCGACGGGTGAAATAATGACGTAGCATCAACATTCGTTGAAATTTATGTTTTCAGAAAAAACTGAAACATAAAACATAAAATTGTCGAGCAGTGTACTTTAAAAACGAAAAATGTTGTTACATTTTTTGTACCAAGTTTTTTACTTTGATAAATATTTTGGATCAGTTTTTAAAATTGAATTGAAAAGTCTACTTTATTAAAAACTCCATAGGATATTATATAAAATGAATAATAATATTTTTAGAATAAATTTCTGTAATTTTGTATTAATGTGATTTCTGAGCTTGCATTTTCTTCACGAGTTCGGCTATCCTAGGACTAACATTGTTACTCAAAGCTTCACGCAAATCATCACTTACTTTTAAACGATTCCTTGCCTAGGTTTTTAATTACCAACATAGCAGAAAATCTTTGTTTACATAAATAAGTTGTTGAGAAAACCATAAAATAGCGCAAGGCGATTTCTCGAAGTTTAGTATAAAAATTGCTTTTTTACCCCAAAACGACTTAAAATTAGATTCAAAAGCATCCTTGCAGTTTCTGTCATTTTGGAATTCAATGAGTTCTTCCTGGATTCCTTCAGTAACTTCACCAGCGTCCGTGTTAAAAGGGTTACGAATCAGTTTTTGATCAACTTTAGCTTCTTCGGTATATTCTGGGAAGTAACGATTGAATTCAGCAATCAACATTTGTAAATTAATCTTGGTATTTTCTTGTATATTTGCCTAGCGTCATACTTTTTATCTTCCACAAGTGCTTTTAATGTCGCAAACGCAGAATAATTATTTTCTTCAATTTTACGTAACCACAACTGAAGTTTGCAAATAAAAGCGCGAAGTTTATCTTTAAAAATGAATATATTTGCGATGTTTTCTAATTGTTTATTTCCGGAACCTTGCAGTTGCATATTCAATTTATTTAAGTGTGTAAAAATATCCAAGATATAAGCCAGATTCCGCTGACATGCCGGATTAGTAAACTGTTTCAACAAATCAAAAAATGTGTTGTCAACCACTCAACCAAAAAAATCTCAACCTCTGCTCTCAGTTCATATAATCTTCCCAACATATTACCTTTCTGTGTGAATAAGAAATGCTCACCGCCCGCTAAATTTAAAATCATTAATCGTGGACACTATTTTGGCTTCTGCGGACCACTGGTAGCCCACGGACCACTGCTTGGGAACCATTGCTTCAGACGAAGATAAAAAATTGGACATTGCTTTATCTCTGCATTTGTCATTAGCCCAAAATCATGCTGCGTCTAGACGAACGATTAGGAGGTTTTTGAAAACAGAAAAATACCATCCATATAAAGTATATCTTGTCCAAGAGCTTTTGGAAGATGACTATGACAGGCGTATGCAATTTAGTGAGTTTTGTGAGGAAATGATGAGGCGATGTGACGAGAATAATGGGTTTCCACTGAATATATGCTTTTCGAATGAAGATGCTTTTTATTTAAATGGAGTAGTTAAAAGGCACAATTAACATTTCTGGAGTCAGGAAAACCCATACTGGATATGTGAAGCTCATATGCAGCGTCCTCAGAAAGAAAATGCATGGGCAGGTATCTTCAACAATAGAATATTAGATTCATACTTTTTTGAGAAAAACTTTACAGCTGAACGCTATTTGGACTTTTTATGATTTGAATTAGTACCTACTCTAGCTGTCATGTTCTCCAACAAAATAGATGCAGATATCCCCAGTGAAACACTATGGTTTCAACAGGACGGCACTTCCAACATTGGTATTAATGTCAGAGAATATCTCGATGAAAGATTTGCAGGATGCTGGATTGGACGACGTGGTACAATTGAATAGCCACCAAGATCCCCAGACTTAACGCCATTATATTACTTTATTTGGGGATATCTGAAAGGCAAAGTTAATCAATATAGGCCTGCTAATATTGAATCAAATAACATACCGGCTGAGGCTATTCAGAATTCCATAGACGGGTTTTAAAATCGCCTGGGAGCCTGTCAAGTACAGGGTGGAGGACATAGCACTAAAGAGGTATTTGTAACTTGTTTTAAAGATTTTTTCTCATTTCCCAATAACCACATAAGTATGGCGAAATTCCCTTTTTCACGAGCTTTTCAATGACCCAATACACGACATACATTTACACTTGAAAAAAAGTTGGGTAGGATTCCAGCTAAGGGGTTGAAGAAAAAAAATTTCATTTTATTGGCAACAATGCGTCTAATGTAAAATCAATTCACGTGTTTCAGTGTTTTTTTTTTAAATTACTGGTTGAACAGATAATAATTTTATTTCGGACTTTCGCACAACTCAAAATTTTGAAAATCGATTTGTGAATTTTCAAAATTTTTAGACGCGATATGCATTTTGCGCTATGAGACGTATTAGTACCGTATCCGTAAAATATTTATGAACAAATATATCACGGATAAATTGTTCTACTAAATTTCTAAGCAATTAACAAAATGCTTACCTTTTGTAGGTTCATGTTCTAACGTTAGAATAGCAATATCATTAGTGAATTCAACAGTGTTGAAATTTTCGTGTTTTTTAACGGAAATTATTTTTATATCTTCCGGTGAAGCTCCATCTTTCTCGTCGAATAAAGTCAGTTCTCCAAGCCTTGCTAAGTATCTGAAAATATTGATTCATCTACACTAATATTATAAGAAGAAAATAGAGACTAGAAATTGGATAATATACAAGGACTCGCGATTTACAGTCAATGAGATTTAGGAGAATACTTATTCGCAAAATTCTTATCACCTCTCGTAAGGATTTCTCATTACCTACCCTGTACATTTCATTTCTGTCATATTTTGTATTTAAAAATAGAATACTGTTTTATGAGTGTCCAAAAATGATTTATGACATGTAAAACATTATAATTTTTCTACGAACTCCATTAGTCTAGCCTGGCCGTTTTACACTATTTTAATTCAATAAAAGTGAAGTAAAAATATTTAGATTTAATGAGGATCCCTTTCATTTTAAAATGAATAAATATAAGATGCCAAAATATTAGACATTGCCCCAGATGCGAAACCCCGCAAAAGATCAAAGGATTTTAGAGTGATAATCGTGTGACCTTGAAACTTTAAATAGGTATGGACATTGGAAATTTAAAAAATATTTTCAGTTACATTGTTGCCATGTAAATAGACCAGAGTTGGTGTAAGCAATAAATAGTTTAATGTAGAATAAATAGAACATGCAAACAAGAAGTTGTTAATTTTTAAACATAGTAGGTAGCTTATTCAACAAAAGAATAGGTATAATAGTTACTTAAGAACATTAAATTTATGTGATATTTACTTTGAGATTTTATTCTTTCCTATTGGTATTTGGTATTAAATGAAAATTTTAGGAAAAAAATAAATGAAATAATTTTCTACGCTAACGTATCATGTTCATTTCGGTTAGCTCGGCGGCAAAAGTTCAACTTCATCATCTATCTGCCTTTTAGGACGCAGATCGCGGATGATATATAAAAATATGTAACACCCTGTATTATAAATTCAACGATATTCAATCATTTTTTTTTTTATAAAAATATAAACATTAGGAGATTGCAGCATTCTGCAACAATCGTAGATAACCATATAACCCTACTAAATGTTATTATAATTATGTATTCATTCATCGTTTAAATGAAAACGTTTATCAGTGTTATATACATTTTTACATGACCTTATCAGCTTCGTGAAACTGTAACTGCCAGGGTTGCATTCGCACGTTTGGCTATACTTACAAATCGTTTCTGTTATGTACACAATGGGCGGCAGTCAAAACATGTCTGGTTGTTATTAAAGTTCCACCACAAAGCCATTTTGGTGTGTTGGGATTCTTAGAATTTCTGTATCCCAGAATGACCATAAAAGGAAACTCGTCTAAAATTAAAAGCGTAATTATTAGTCATTGTCTGCTATACTTCTAAAACTAGGAGGAGCGAATTGACAAGTAGCATTAGGGAAAAGTTACTAAAAAAAGTTATTAATTTTAGCGGTAAATGTAAATCTGACTTTCGTATCATTTATTATTTGAAGCAAAACATTTTAAAAGTATATTTTGAATGCATTAAAATCGATGTTTTCTAACGTCGGGAAAAATCATAATTAGAGTTGGCTGTGAAATTTAAATGTTTTGTGTTGGTACTTTAACCATTCCAAAGAGTAATATATTATCCTTGAAATTTTTCAAAACTGTTATAAAGAAAGTTAAATTTAAAAAATGGTATTCAACACCGAGAAAAAAGCAAAATGTTACTTCTGTATACATGTCAAAGTAATTTTGTTGTTTTTTTTTGTTGTTTTTGATAATGACTAAATCTAAGTTTCTATCTCAGCAAGCACTTGTTTGTTGTGATAACCACTTTGTATACACTAATCACTTCACAGTAATAATTCAAAGGGCTTTATATTATTTCCAATATTCTCTATTAATCCTGGTTGTCCGAAATCTGCAACATTTCAATGTTGTGGAGATTGTTTAGCCTATAGTCTCGTACTTTCTGGAATATCGTTGGAATTCCTGTATAGATTGCAACATACCATAGTGCGTTTACTATTCCTCTCAGCACTTTGTTTTGAAACCTTTGTATTATAGCTATATATTACTAGATTTAGCGCTTCCCCACAACTGTATGCCGTAGGTCCATACAGGTTTTAAAACCTGAGTATATAACAAGAGTTTATTTTGGGTAGAGAAGTGAGATTTCCACTCCAGAGCTGGGCAGAGTACTTTTGCAAATTTTAGCAAATACTCGTGAAAAAATCGAGTAACGAGTATGACTATTTCAAATAATTCTAGTTAGTGATTTAAGATTAAAAAAAAGAATTATAATAATTAATAGATAATAGTAAGTTACAAATAAAAACTTATCTGTTAGCACTTACCTCTAACGTGGTCGCTCAATTTTTCCATTTTAATGTTAAAGTAAAGTAATATAGCTATTAGGTAGGGGCAGATTTACAGATAGAGAATCATTAAAAGGAGTCATATTTTTTAAAATGTATATACACGCGTATATTGTCATGATTCCGTCATTTGACATATGTTCTTATGTTTTCCGTCCTGTATCGTTGACATCGATAAGTTACTCGGAATTACCCTATGGTTGTGACGCCGATGGTAATGGGATTTTGATAACTAATGGAATTGTCAGATAGATTTTGGAAAGATTGTCAGAGTGTTTTTGAACTGTTAAATTGGAAATTAAAAAAAAAAAATAAAAAAATATTATATTGAAGTTGAAGATTTTATATCGTAGAAAAAAAGAACCAAAATGAATAAAAAAGAAAGACAGAAAGGTTTATTTAAATTGAAGATAAGTGTGAATCGAATAGCAGGAAAGAGAACTTAGCAAGAAAGAGAGTTTAGCAGAAGGAGGAGTAAGAGGAGAAAGTAGAGGAAAACAGCAAGAGGAGACCAGGCAGGAGAACAGGAGGTTAGAAAGTCAGAAGTTAGAGCAGAAACAAAAAAAAAAGCGAAGCGGAAGATGTAGATTTTTTTTCAAATTCAAAATTTATCTATTAGTATTATGGTTAGTAATATTTTTAAATTTTTTTAAATGTTTGTAAAAAAGTCAAAGGAACCATAACCTTACAAGTTGCAAGCTATTGGAATGGTTTAACCTTTCCGGGGTGGAACCATTATAATGTATATGCGCGCGGAACGAGTACGAGTACCCGAACTCGTTACTCGTCAGCTGTAGGAATCAGAAGTACTGAGTACTCTAAAATATAAAGTACTCAAAAATTTTTGAGTATGGGTCTAATCAATTACTGAGTACTTTGAGTACTCGAGTACAATTTTGAGTAGAATTGATTTGAATACTGCTCAGCTCTGCTCCCAAGTAACCAATATATATCTGAATTCAAGTTCTCTTTTTCACTGTATTCTTTTCACCGCAACTTAATGTATAAATTCATTCCAAGATATTAAGCTGTGTTTACCAGAGGTACTTACCTGTTTTGATGACCTATAGAAGTTTTATTTGTAAAGTATACATGTATTGTTTTAGCCTCGTTTAGCTTAATGCTACTTTGCTTGGTTCATTTACTGATTTTATTAGTGGATTCTTGTAGTTTATTTGATATTTTAACACAGAAACGTCGTGAGCAAACATTGCTATTTTCGTATCATTAGGTGTAGGAATATCATATTATAGAGAAGATACAGTACTGTCCCTAGAACGCTATCCTACGGCTAACGTAAATGGCTCATTTTTTTAAAGAACCTCAATTAATGTTAACTACAATGGCCTTTTCAATGTTTTGACAAATTATGTGCAGTTATTCAAAGAGACTGATAGCGTCAGTGGAAAAACGAAGCGGGCGGCACTTGGGCCATCACTTGGGATTGTTGGATGTGAGTAAACTCCTGGCGCCCACTTACATATATAAGTTTTGCTACGACTCACCCCCTTCTTCACTGTAGCTTGTCGGCATGCAACACTTGGATTTTTATGAATCTTACCTCAAGTGCTTAGGCATAGAAAGTAGGTAGCATTTATTTTTGACGCCTAACCTACAGCTGAAATTATTAAAACCTTTCAGCATGTTATTGATAAAAATCTAAAAACATTTGTTTCAGTAGAGGCCCAACAAACAAATTTGTATTGTGGCACATGTTAACTTATTTAAAAATAAAAACTTCTACTGTTATACATACAATGTTTTCAGAAGCAGTTGGAATTTTTTCAATGGTTCCAAAATAATCTAAACAATGAAAATATGCTTAACACAGATTTTCTCAAATGAATCTTGGTTTTATCTTCACAGAATATGAAGTGGTGGTCAACTTAAAATCCTAATTTTTTTGTTGAAAAACCATTGCATCCCCAAAATTACTACACACTTTTTCGAATAGTTACCTCACATTTATATCGCTTTAATATCTGATTGTATTTAAGTTGTCATGTTGTTTATTTGTTAATAAGAATACCAAGGTTAAATTGTCTAAAATTTTGATGTCATAGTACTTCTGAACCAAAATATCTGTAAGTCCAAATCTATCCTTTGAACAATTTTTGATATACGTGTTAAAGTCGCAAATTAGATATTTTTAAAAAAGCCATAATTTTTAACAAAGCACTTTGATTACAGAATAACGCTTTACTACTATCAAAGGGACGCCTATTATTTGCCGTAGCGCTCCTGGGCGAGTTAAAGATGATTGATGGTGCCATTTGACTTACAGATGAGGAAAACTTGAAAAATCCCACACCCACCATCATTGAAACGGTAACGTATGGTGATTTATATGCAACTAACAATACAAGAAAGTAATATTGGTTGCATAGATATCAGTAATTTTTTTACAATTTAATAGATCTAGTAAAAATTAGAAAAATATGTATGTAATACGTTTTGTATAACTCATTCATGTTGCGGGATCTCGCTCTGCTCGTCCCGCAAATATTCACTCGTTACATGAAATAAGACATTTCGTAACTGGTTGCATAAATAACTATTATCAGCAATATCGTTATTTTTATAAAAATGTGAATTCTAATTTTCTGGATTTGTGACTCGCTGAATGACTATATTTATGACCATAAAAAAAATATATTTTTGAAGTGTTTATCAATTGAAAACCCATTGCATTAAGTTGGTGTTTGCGTTGAATATGTCGAAAAAGATTGGTGGGTCCCATGATGAATTACAAAATGGGTATTTCCAACAAGATGGTGAAACCCTGACTTAAATAACATTATCTTTTTTTATTAATTTTATAAAGTTAATTTGTTTTATATGTTTCATAGATATTTATAATTACGTATAAAATACTTTTCTTAAGGTGATTACACCACCCCTTATAATTTTCGGACAAGGATATCTCAAAAAGTATTTTTTTTTAATGAAAATTTTGGCAAAATAAATTAGGCTTTTAGCCACTAATTTTGGCAAATTTTAAAAAGTCATTAACAAAATATTAAGAGCTCAAATTTCTGGATTATATTAAGAATAGTGCTATTGAGAAATGCTTTTATTTTCATTATATTTCAAAATTTGAAGTTTTTGATTTTTTTTCTCGGAAACTGAAAAGATTTAAAACTTTAAAATATATGCATATCTAGATAATATTACCTAATTTATTTTGCCAAAATTTTAATTTCTTAACATAATTATTTTTTGAAATATCCTTGTCCGAAAATTATAAGGAGTGCTGTATTCACCTTAAATGTAAAACTTTTTGTTAATTTGGAATGACATTATTATGGTCTGTGTCAACTTGTTTATCAAATAACCATGCAGAAGCTAGCGCGGAAAATTCAAATCGCTCTTCCTGTAGTTTAAAAATAAAGTATATACCTCTAAAACTATAAAAAATAATAGAATAATAAATTACTTAATACAGCTGGTGCACCACCGACAATTCTTGAATTTGTAACATTACTGAGTCCACAGTGCGGCCTTCTGGGAAAAATCGAAGTTTCTTCTTTTCCATTATTATCGACACGAACATTTGGAGCATTGCTATTCGGACAGCAAATCATCGGATAACGCCCAGCGAATCCGCATGTTGATTTTTGAAGGTAACTTATAACTTCCGGGTTCCTTGAATTGCTGCTGAGAAGTTTTACCATGTAATTGCATTTTCGTATGTCCACGCATTGGCCGGGTTCACGTCGTGACGTAAAGCAAGAATTATCATCTAGAAAAAGAAAGTTATTTATTAAAAACAAATCATGACATACAACAGCAAGGGTCATGGAACAACACACTAGAAAAATAAAAGAACTGATAAATAAAACGAGAAAGACAAGAAAAAAATAGCAAATCATCAGATTACCCAAAGATAAAGTAACTTAGTTCTCAACAGACTAATAAAACAAGTAAAAAAAGAAATAATTACTATCAAAAATGAATCAATAGATATCTCAGATATTTTAGAAAATCGACCAATGGCAAAGGCACTGATTATTCTCTGTGGAAAGCAACTAAAAAAAGATGACGACCAACTTGAGAAACTGCACATTTTGTTGTGTTGGGAATGGGGTATTAATACACTGATACCTAAAAAAAGACATATTGTGCCCCTTTCTATCGCTAATTCAGAAAGGAAATGTCTCAATGCCTTCCAATCTTATCTTCTCGAGGGAAGTGTAAAATTTCGAGAGGCTTCAAATTAGGTAAATATCCCTCTTCTATTTGATATGCTCCTAGGTGCTCTTGGATTCTGGATGTGAATAGAGGTTTCGTCCTTGTTTTAACAGAATCTGTACTCACTATCGTCTACTACTCTCAGCTTATTAAAGTGTCCTGTTAAAATATGTAGCCTGTTCTTGCTCAGGCATATACAGGCTTCCGATCTTTTCTGGTTATATTCATCCAGAAGTATCTTAGCCTGTCTTAGTCCCAAAAGATTGTTTAAATTATCGATTCATCTACTGCCCAATTCTTTTTTAATTCCTCCAAATATTGTGTTACTGCTGATTAGTGCTGATACCGCAGAACGGCTCAGGTCCCACAAAGGCTGTTTAAGCCCCTTTCCTTGCGAGACTATTTGCAATCTCGTTATCTTTTACCCCGTTATGTCCCGAGACCCAAGTTAATTTTTTTCGTCTAGCTCAGAGGATCCCAAACTCTTTTGTTTCATAGACCACTTTCAAAATTTTGCTGGATCACTACATCACTACCAATTTCTAAATCTCGAAATAAAAAGAGAAGATTAGATCTATCTATGGAAACTGGCGTTGTGGCTGAGTTTTAACGACGAATTAACAGTTTTCGAAAAAAAAGGTTAGAATTGATTGCTTGATAGGGTTAATTATTTGATAATAAAGTCGACTAAACAAATTTTCAATAAAATTTTAATTGATTGTGCTGTGAGTGGATGTCAAAAAAGCAAAGTTGGCCAAACGAAAAAGTGAGTCCATCCAACTTTACTTTTTTGAAATCTACAGTGACTCACAGCACAAGAACCAATCAATTCTCACAAATTTTATTTAGAAAACGTCCCATTCGGAGTGGTAAAAAGAAATATAGTATAGTTCCTTGTGTTGTAGGTATTTATTTAAATTTAAATATATAAATTATTACACTATTAATTATTATTGTTATAACCGTCGTAATATAATTAAAATTAAACACTTATAACGTAATGTAATTTCTACAATGGTAATTATAAAAAAAATATAATTTTAATGAGAGGGATGTACTTGATGGATTGACAGCAAATTATCAATATTTGGCTTGAGTTTTGTAAGGAATAACTTAAATCTCCCCTTTCTGTGACAGTCAATCTGCTCCTTTTTTTTTGTTAACGGCATTAAAACTTTTTTCGACGAGATATGACGAGGGAAACACTATCAGAAGCTTTAGCACAATTCCCCACAGTCCAGGATATTTTTTGGGTATTTCTGCCTGCAGCCAAAATTTTTGATACCCTCTTTTAAATGTCACTTTCAGCTCCTCATTAGTGCTAAGCTCGAGTAGCTCCTCTTGTAATATCACATTCTTCCGTTTCTTCAAATGGATTTATGACCCATGGTGGTATTTCCATCGACAGAATATCTTCAAATCTGAATTTAAAATCATCATGCAGGACAATCAAATGTTGAACGTATGTCTGAATATTTTTATTCCACCTGCGACAAGTTTGAAAACTGTGAAAATTCGCGCCGACCAATATTTTCCTTCATACATTTCAATTTACCAAGAAAAGCTGAAATGACACTCTTTGTTTTTATTAAATTGAGGCTGTCCCCTTGTATTTTTAAGTTGAGGTCATTAAATTTTTTGAACAAATCTGTCAAATACGGGATGTCTGCTTTAAAATTGATCAAGTTTTTTTAAAATCAGGATCTTTACTTTCCAAAAATTTTAAAACTAAGTCAAAAAGTAAATAAAATCTTAATAAACATGCACCCTTTCGACAACCAGCGTACTTCGGTATGTAACAGCAATCGTTGGAAGTCTTCATCATTTTCATCGCACAATTGTGCAAATAAACGCGTATTCAATGCATTGCTACTTATTTTGTTAACTGCATTAATCACAAATTGAAGCGATTGGTGCAATCTATCACTCCAATTTTTCGCTACTAGATGTTGTCGGTGGATAACACAGTGAATCGCAATTACCTCTGGTATAATTCTTTTAAGATGGCTTATAAACCCACGATATCGCCCGACCATGGTAGGAGCTCCATTTGTTGCCACCGAAATAACGTTTGTGGATGGAATCGATTTTTTTTTAAAAAATCACTCAAAACATTAAATATTGATTCATCTTTAGTGTCCGTCTTCAAAGTTTTCGCGAATAGTAGCTCTTCATGAATTTCTTCGCCCATAACAAATCGAACATATGCCAATAATAATGCTTCATTGCCAGGTAAAGTAGTAACTAAAATGTTGACTGTTTATATTATAAACAGTTGAAGTTTTTTACAAGAATTTCTTCATCACATGGAAAAATGAGTAATCAATTGTTTAATAGTGTATTGCTTCACTATCGAAACAAAATTAATTTTCATGCACCCCCGCTTACGATTGTGGGCCCCCATTTTTTATTACGCCCTACGTAGACCCTCGTTGAGTCTCCCGTGGACCCCTGGGGTCCACCTGGACCACTTTGAGAAATACTGGCTAGCTCATTCAGTTTTTCTAGGTATCTCCAGCCCATTTCTGAGCTGATTACGTGAGAACTCAGCACTTTGATGGCTGCTTGGCTATCGGACATAATTATAATCTCTCGATGTTAAAATGGATACACTTCTCAATCGGGTGAATTTCTGCCTGGAAGATGCTTGGGTATTTTCCTAAACTTTCAGAGTGCCTGGTTCTAGGCCTATATACTATTCTAGTTTCTTCTACGGTTTTGGAAGTATCCGTATACCATTGAATATCATGTCTTTTGGTTGCAAGCACGATGAATTCTTGGCTTCATTCTTTCTTGCAGCCTATGCTCTGGGGTTTTAAAGTTTTTTCCATTCTTGAAAAGACTACTAGTGTTGTTTTCGTGGGGTTTATACCAAATCACATCTTACGGCACAAGCGCACATTCAGAACATGTATTAAAATCTAAATGAATATGTATTTCTTAACTAAATCAAAGTTCAGTACTATTTATTTTGGGTCATACTGTATAAAGAAAAATTGTTGATTGGCTAAAATATATGTGCAATAAAAACAAAAATAGAAATCAAATCGAAGAACTCCCGCTACCCTGCATCATCTGACCATCCTACGCTCTATCTGTGGTTCGCCTTCCGCTCTAATTGTTATCAAAACTCCTAAATGCTCCATCACTTCCGTTGTTTTGTTCACCGATTACCATAAAATTGTATTGAAATATATTTGCAGAAACTAGGTATAAGAACAGAATAATACTTTAATAGGATTATTTAACTGAAAAGATTTCTGAACTGGTACAATGATTCGATACAAATCCCTTGACATGAAGGTTTAATGGTTATTATACTTCACAATATTCTTCTTAATTAGAAAAAGGTTTATATTTCCTCATCGCAATTTATAAATATATCTACAAAAATCTTCTTAGGATGTAATCGGTGCAGTAGTCATTTAGATTAAGTAATTGATTTATTAAAAAAATCTCACTTTTAGTTGAAATTTTCGAAACAAAATAATTCTTTCTACTTCCTAGTGGAGGAGAGTAATATCTTGAGAACAATAATTAGAAAGACGGCTAAGTAAAATTAAGAAGAAACAGATATAGAATCGTAAATAAAATAAAAGAGTCTGAAAGGTAAAGAAATCTTCATTGACTTCCAACATGCCTTCGATAAAATTTGGCACAAGCAGTGGCGTAACTATAGGTGGGTTTTAACCCTCATATGGGACACCTAGTATGGGCGAAGAGAAGTTAAATCAGTTGGTAGTATTAAATATATACAAACAAATTAATTTATCGGCAACTAAAGTTCTTGATGAACCTGCTATATGCGCAAATAAATCAGGATGAAGTATTCGTAAGGGCAGAAACTATATCGAATGTAGGGCAAGTTTAACAAAAAATTTACTGCTTATATTAAACTGATTAAAACTTCCTTTATTAAAATGATTATTTATATGATAAAAAATTTGATGTTATTGGAAGCTTTTATATTTTTTTAATATACAGTGACACAATAGTTTTTGTTTCTCCTGTAAATTTGTATAGAAAAACTATTTCTGAATCCATGTTTGAATTTCCCGCCCTAAAGTATTTTTAATTTTCCCGCTATTTACTAGTGACGCCATCATAAACTAGTTGTGGTTACAATCGCCCAAATGACTTTTACCGAACAAAAAAAATACATTGAGTTAGACGTCTCGCTGGATTGTCTGTGATAATAAGCTTTATACTAGCATACCACACCACCCTATTTACCTAGTTACGATTTGCCACCCGTTTCTCCAGCACCTCCCATGTAAAACCAGCTTTAGATAGATCCATACATATACACATTTTCGGAATCTGCGTGACCAGTTCTAAAAGATGGTAGGAATATGTGTAACGGAGATTTTAAGATATTTCCGGTAGAAATGGACGAAAAAACAACACATTTTTGGAAAGTACGCCCAAAAATCTATAAGATGCCATACAAAAATCACTTGATTTTCTTTAAACACCCATATCTAGCTCTTCTTGAAGTTTACTCAAAAAAACCTACAGAGATTCGGAGGCAAAAAATGGCGTTATACACGATACTGGTCGGTTAGAAATAAGCGAGAAACGACCTCCCTCACAATACGCATTCTGCGCTAGAAGACGGATTAATACGCCCACATATAATGTTCTTGCACTGTAAAATCACGGTGGCATAACGAGATTTTGGCTCCAATTTTTACAATAAAAACCGTCAAATGCAACAGTTTTAATTGAGAAAGTATTTTTGTTTTAAAAAAATTTGCATGATAACCTAATTTACTTTATATAATAAAATATTTGTAAAGAAAGAAAAATTACGCACGAAAATATAATATGGGGGACTATATTATCTCTAATACAGTTTTTCAATTAGTTTTCATCTTACCTTCCGGGAAAACTGCTTGTCCGAACACACATACTGTTAAACAAAATACGTAAAAGATGCAAAGAAATACATCAATAAATTTAAACATTTCGACAACAATTTAACAAATATCTAATACGCTTTATCAGAGTAAAAACCAAAGATATTCGAATAAGTATATCACATTATTATTAATCAAGGAAATAACTGTTTATATACCACCAGATACGGACTGGTTCAATGCGATTAATGAAATTTATTTCTAGAAAACACGTAATTCCGGGAAAAAATTCATTTTAATTTATGAAATTGTAACTTGAATCCAATTATTGCTCTATTATCATCACACAAATCACAAATAGCTCCAGTCAAAAATTCTTACATACATACATAATAACATAAAATTCACTTTTGAAGTGGAATAAAACTCTTAAATTTTCTAGATTTGACAATAAAAATATTGGAATATACTATTTATAGAAAAAACACACAAGCTGATAATGTAATAACCATTAACATTTTGATACATCGTCTCTTTACCATACCACTTTTGCCGCTAGAATTTGAAAAAGAAGACATTTTTCAGATTGCGGTAAACAATGGCTATAAAGTCTTTTTAGTAGAAAGACTTCTAATAAAAAAATATTATCAGTAGTAATATCCCAAGGACAGAGATAATTCGAAATAGGTTTTTTCACTTACCAAAACTCTTAAAGTTACACCAAACAGACCAATACTCAATGAATACAAATTTAAATAAACGTTTTTATTTAAAAAGTTGCTGACATTCAATGTACAATAGGTAACAAGTGTATATCATAGATATATAAGTGCTAGAGAAAACATGATAATGTAACTATTTTAACAATTTTCCTCATTAAATAGTTTTCTTTTAGTCACTTAATCCTATCCCTTGGCAGAGATTGTGTAATCTAGGCTTTGGGATTAATTTAGTCATCATATCGGCTAATTAGAGTTCAGACGATACCTTCTTGATAATAATTTCTCCATCTGATACTAATTCTCTAATAAAAAAATGTCGTGTCCTAATATGTTTAGTACGCCTATGGAATTTGGAATTTTGAGCTTCAAAGGAGCTTCGTTGTCAATTTGAAGTTCGGGAATAACCTTCAACTGGGTAACTTCCATCAAAAGACGTTTGAGCCAAACAATTTCTCGAGCTGCTTCACTGGCATTTCAGATTCTGTAGTCGGTATAGCTACTGAAGTTTATTTTTAAATTAACCAGTTCACCACACCTTCTGAATAAAGGCAAACAACACCCGATGTTGATCGTCCAGTAGATGTATCGCCTCCATGAATAGTCAGCATCACTATGCTGATGGCAGACCTCCTAAGTTAAATACAGACAAATCAAAAACCAATATGACTTTAATTCCACAAGTGAATGCTTTAATGCTGAGTCTGATAACAGCTGGTATGTAAATAATAAAGCGCCAAACCATATTATATACTGTTCAGAGCTATATGATACCTTTGAAGCCATCATAACCAAACATCATGTAACGACGGCAAATGGTGAATCAGTTGAAGCCTCTGGTAAAGGGACAGTATTTCTTGAAACATTAGTCCATAACAAAAAATCTGATGTGTCCAACACATGACTTTCCTATCTAGTTATTATAGGCTTTTCCCGGTTATTTTGTACAACCTATTGCAGCATCTCTATAAATGTTTAGAGGATAAACTAAATATATACATTGTCCACATACATCTACCTCGAAACATTTTTCCATAGATATTCATGGAAAACGAAAATACTGAAAAATTAAAATTTCCTACAATTTTTTCATTACGGTCCATTTTAGAAAAATCATGTATAAACAAAAATTATAGAGATCGATATCGCAAACAACTTTTATTTCAAAAACTTTCACAAAAATCAGAATTTTGCACATTTTGTCAAATTTCTCGAATACGGACCATTTCAGGAAATTTTTACATAAAACAAAAATTATAGATAATAATATAAGAAGTAACTTTTATTTGATTAATTTTTTTCTCCAAACATTAATAACAGATATATTCCATAAAATATAAAAGTGGCCTCCCATAAAGTACCCCCCCAGATGTTCCGACTATGTCCAAAATCTAATCATTTCACGTCAGGCCGAAATAAAACTTAAGTTTAAAATTTAATGTTTTTTTTATCCGTTTTTGAGTTTTCTTAAAAATTCGAAATTAACACATTTTCTCAAATATCTCGAATACGGTCCATTTTAGAGAAATTATGTATATAATAAAAATTATAGAGAATTATATTACAAACAACTTTTATTTGAACAATTTTTATAAAAAAATATTTTTTTTACATTTTGTCAAATTTCTCGAATACGGACTATTTTAGGAAAATTTTGTAAAGAACAAAAATTATAGATAATAATATTAGAAGTAACTTTTATTTAAAGAATTTTCTTCTCCAAACGTAAATAACAGATATATTCCATAAAATATAAAAATGACCACCTATAAAGTACCCCCCCAAATGTTCCGACTCTGCCCAAAATCTAATCAGCTCATTGGACGCTGAAACAAAGCATAAGTTTAAAATTTGGTGTTTTTCTGTGTATCGGTTCATGAGTTATGCGTTATACAGACACAGACACGCACACACACACGCGCGCACACACGCGCGCACACACGCGCACACACACACACACACACACACACACACACACACACACACACACACATCATCGCGAAAATAGTCAAAACGGATTCAGGGGACCTCAAAACGTAAAAATCCGTCGAAAACTCTAGGTCGAAAAAAATCATGATTCCTATACTTTCCTTATATCTGTATACAGATAGGAAAGTAAAAAGACAAGCTAACCCTTAGTGATGTGTGGCATGTTCCACAAATCAAAAAGAATTTGTTTTCAATTCTATCAGCCCAAGTCAAACATCCAAATAGCCATTTTATGTCAACGTCGGTAAGATGCAGGTTGAAAGTAGGGAATAAAACCGTTCTAGAAGAAGATTCTGGACTATACAAGCTAAACGTTAACAGTAAACTAAAATCTTCTGAATTAAACATGATATGAAGTCAGTCGCAATTTCAATTATTTCACGAACGACTAGGCCATCAGAACAAAAGGCATGTAAAAATGATCATGAAACGAAATTTTGGATTAAATGTACATCTAGATAGTGAAATATGTGAGGGTTGTGTCTATGGAAAAGCACACAGAAAGAAATTTGGAACAAGTGAGCATGCGACACAACCTGGAGATCGTATACATACTGATGTATGCGGCCCTTTTCTTTCCTTTATGTCAGGCTATCGATACTGTTCCTATTTCCGTGAAGTATTTTTTATGAAATAAAAATCAGAAGTTGCTTCTAAACTGGAAGATATGTTACATCAAATAAAAGCCTTAGGACATACAGTTCAAGAACTATTACGCGACAATGGAGGAGAATTTGATAATTAAAAATACTAAGACATCCTTTCCAAGTTAGGAGTTAACGATTTATTATGCCTTATACTCCGGAACAAAATCGTTATGCAGAGAGAGAAAATAGAACGCTTGTAGAAACAGCTAGAATTTTTATGCATGCTCATGATCAAATTCCGTAAGGACTCTGGGTTGAAATGATAAACTAAAATATATTCTTAATCTAAGTGATTCTTCCAGAATTGAAGGAAAATCACCAACAGAGGTGTGGACAGGAAAGAAACCTAGCTTGAAGCGTCTACGGATTGTGGGAAGTACATGTTATGCCCATACCCCCAAGCAACAACGAAAGAAAATGGACAAAAAAGGTATTCTAGTTGGATATGATGGTGTAGATTGGTATCGAATCTAGTGTAAAGAAAATAAAAAGCTTATAAGATCTCGTGATGTAACATTTCAAGAAGAAACAGACAAGATTTTCAGTTAGAAATTAATAAAGAACGTGAAGAAGAGAATAAATATGAAGAAATAAAAGAAATCGGTGAAACAGATTCAAACGCATTATATCTTTGAAGATATTAAAACAATTCTTTAGTAGAAGAATCGGAAGAAGACGCAATTGAAACAAACGTTTGTAAGTCTGCAATAGCTAGTATGGATGAGATTTTTGAACCATCTTCTTATCTAGAAGCTATTAACTGTTCAAGCAAAGAAGAGTGGAAGAAAGCCATGGATAAGGAAATTACGTCTTTAAAGAAAAATGAAACTTGGGCACTGGAAGAACGTCCTGTATGAGTGATGTGCTACAGGGGGATGAAATATAGGGTGTTATTAAATTCCATTCGCAACTTTAAAACAAAAGTGACACATACTATTCAAAAAGTCCGTATTTAAAATTATTATTCTATTTTTTCCTTTCTGCTTAGTAAATAAATTAAAACTATAATAAATATTTCCATTAATAACAAATGAATTTTACTATTTTAATAGTACTATCAGTACTATTTTAATAGTTTATTATCTATATTTTCATTTATGTTTTTAATAACTTTTGATAAATAGTAACTAAAACTATAAATTTTTCTTTATTTTTGTTTTTATTGTGAGTTTTCGTTATATCTAAATAATGCGTTCATAATTTTCTAAAGACGATTAGAAAAACTTTTTGGACGGCATCCGCATCAGGTCATTGCACACGCTTCGGGCTCTCCTCATACAAGTTACGCCGCTGCAAATCCTTCGTGTTTAAGAATAATACTGATCTGAAATGAGTTGTTGTAAAGCCTTACATGGATACCTAACTTTTGTACGTGTGGCAGATACTAAGCGGATTATATCCAGGATTTCATCATCTGATTTTTTCAATTTCGTACTGCTTATATATATACGTACTTAATTAAGTTGAGTAGCTTATATGGATGCACGAAATATTAGGGGGAGAAAGAATCGGTTCGATATTCTTTGGTTTGACTTTAATTTTTGCTTCACCACAACATCTACTATACATATTATTTATATTATGGCGTTATACCCATAAGATGCTATCAATATGTACAATGTTTAATAAATTTATAGATATATCTCAGGTGAAAGGATCTTTTCTTCTATTTTTCGTATTTTAACGCTTTTTTAATCGCTTTTTAATGGTTCCCTTATGTACAGAGCTAGAAAACACCTTTCAAAAAGTAACTACTAACTATTGTGTGATTCAATATAAGTTTGGTTGTGCGTACTTTAAAAAGTAGTTAAAATACTTTTAAAAGCAGTTAAAGTGTCACTGAGTATTTGTAACTACCCAAAGTACTTTTTTAACTATTATTTTGAGTATTTTGTAATCGAGTATAACTTTTTAACCTAACGCACTTTAAGTACAACTACTGTTTCGAAAAAAGTAGTTCTGTGATTCACTTACACCACCTTCAATATCTAGAAATCAACAGATTTATGATAAAAATTACTGGTTATTTCACAACAATCTGGG